GGCGGTGAAATTCGATGCGCCCAAGAAGAACTCTTGAATTACTATTTTTAGAGCACGCTTTAAGCCCGGGATGGAGTCACACGGTTATAATTAACGGTACCGTAATGCCATATTCGTAGAATCCGGACGAGTCCCCTGTTCAAAGTATCACGAAGTCGAGCCGAGGATTCTCTCGTTTCCGGCGATGAAATCACGACGAACGCTCATGCCCTTAAAGAGCGGCATCGTTTTAACGTTATTTCCTATTTCTCCTCGCTTTGCCTCGACTCCCACGGTTTCTCGATTGAAATCCCGAAGAATCGTTCCAAAAGGAAAAAAAAAAAAAAAAAGAACGTCAAACGAAATCTTCCGATCGTGTTTTCGCGTATACCGGTTTCCAAACGAGGGAAGACAGACGCTACTCGATTGCGAAACCGATGCCTCCTCGTTCCGCGAAGCGAAACGTCTTCGAACGTCAATTCCTTGAGATTTTCTCGTGAGATTATCACGCGTTTAACCACGCGGCGGTAAATCATAAGCGACAATTAATCTTGATAATAATGGGCGAACAAAGATACGTGTAAATTCGCGGAGACGAGCGATGCGTAACGAGCGCTCGAGCGAGTGCACTCGGACTCGTATAACGAGCCCGCTGCACAAGACACGATGAATCATCGATACTATACACCCGGCCGTATTACAGCACTACGATTAGGTCCTCGTATCGATTGGATTCCTTGTTGTCACTCGATGATGCTCCAATTTCCGCAGGAGTGTATACGAACTTAATGGCAAACTTCTGGAAGGAATAAAAAAAAAAAAAAAAAAAAAAAAGGAAAGACAAAAGAGTAATATCTGTTCGAAGCGAGTGCATAGGATAAATATATACGCGAAAAGATACAAGAGTAGTTGAAAGTAATTGAAAAGTTGAAGAAAAAGTTGGTTGTTTTATTGGTCGAAAGTTTCGCGATCCCTTCCTTTCTAACATAATCGTTTCAATCGGATCTAAAACGTTGCGACATCGTTGATCGAGTGTCTTGCCTCTTAATGCCCACGCAATTTTATACGCTTGTTTTTTAATGCAGCTGATATTTTCAATCCAGAACGATTTATTGCGTCCGCTATATACTTGGGGGTCGTCTCTTTTTTTTATCGTCTCGACGATTTACCAAATAAGGAATCGGATTTTCGTCGGCGCCGAACTGATCGATCGATGCTAATGAATAACACGGGCTCCTCTTCCATGCGTTCGAGTTTCGAAACTTTTTACGCTTCTTTTTTTTTTTTTTTCTTTTCTTTTCTTTTCTTCTTTTTTTTTTTTTATTATTTTTTTCTTGTTCTCGTTACCTTGACGTTATCGGGTACATTAACGAGACTTTTAACACGCGACGATTAGGCCAAGTTTACGCGAAAGACGTTTCACGCTTCGAAGGAAAAAAAAGAAAAAAAAAAAAAAAAAAAAATATCTCGATACGTTTCAAAGACTTATTACTTTTGTAAACGATGTACACGATCCGGCATAACAATGCCGTAATCCAATGCACGGCATGATCACGGGGTAACGTGCGGCTGAAATTCTAATCATGATTGTAAAACTTTATGATTTAATTAATTTGCGTCTAGTATTATGATGTATATCGTGGCAACCGGTCGACTCGTCTTCTTCTTGACGATTAATCGTCTCGTTAAACGATTCTCGTTCCTCGTGATCCTCATTGTTGACGAGGCGGAGATAGCTTTGTTAATAAGAAATAACAAAGAAGAAGCGGAAGGAGGGAGTGGCGGCGGAGGAAGGAGGGAGGAGGGGGGAGGGAGGAGAAGGGAGGAAAGTTGTTAAAACGAACAATTAAACTGAATTACGTAGACGAGACTGAACAGATTCTTGTATGAGAAGAATTTTCGTTATGTCATCGATAAATCCATATATGTGCATCTCGTATCGTAAAATATCTTTAGCCGCCTCCACCGTCTCCTTGTTTGCGCTCTTTCGACCGCGATTCGAGCACGTTTAGAAACGCGATTTAACTTACGTAAGCCGTGAATAACCACGGAGAATTAATATTCCAAGGTGGTAATGTCCGTGAAATAGAGATAGCAGCGTATGATAATTTCCGTATCCGTAAACGATTGTACCAACTGAATCGTGAAAAAAAAAAAATAAATAAATAAATAAACGAAGCTGATTTTTCCGATTTTACGTAAAATGTTACATTTTTTTTTCTCCGTTTATCGTTTGAAGAGGATGCATTAATCGATTATTCTTTTTTTTTTTTTTTCTTTTTTTTTTCTTTTCTCGTTTTCTTTCGTCTTTGGTTTCGTTTCAACCATATTAAGGATCCTGGAGTGGATTTCACGAATGGCACAATCACGACGACAAACCACACAGGGATCAGATCCTGCAACACATTGTCCACCGGCGCCATATTGCTGGCGGACATATTGCCCTCGTTGGCGGTGAAAATAATCACGCCGTTCCTGCCTTTTCACGTACAGTGAGTATCCATTCTTTTTTCTTTTCAATTTATCTTGTCTTCAATTGTTTACCATTCGATTTTGTTCATTCATCGCAATTTCGACGTAAACCTGACATATATACATATATATATATACATATATATATTGTATATATATAAGCGTGACGAACGTTTGCGTCGAGCATTGAAAAAGAGCCAGTATGAGCACTGAAAAAAAAAAAAAAAAAAAAAAGAGGAAAAAGAAAAAAAGAGAGAAAGACCAACGGTAATATGGTAAAGGAAACATATTTAAACGTACGAGGGAACGAGACGGGACGAGATTGCATTTTATATCGAATTTTTTTTCGAACGATAACCAACTATTTAAATAATTTACTGAAATCGAAATTACAGACAATGACTCACTAATTTTTCTCGATTTCACGATTCCTATGACGTTGTAGCGCAACGATTGATCGCGCGAATATACGTGATTTATCTTATCGATGAGTTTGTCCGCGTATCGCATCGATAATGATTATCGTGACATTTGCGTAGATTTTTCGAGAAGGAAAAGGGGAGAAAAAAAGGAGGACGCGATCCTCCTTTTTGATTTTGAATAAAGATACGAGTGACGAGAGCGCGAAAAATCGTATTACGTATTCAGCGCGGTTTCCTTTTGGAAGACGTAGGAGGCCGGTTGACGCCGGTTGACGCTTCTCATCGCACACGCATTTTACTTGTGGCCTATACTTCTCTAAATGACGCTTTCTCCGGCCACGAAAGCCACGCTATACACACTCGGGGGACGGATCATCTCCGGAGTCGTGCCCCTCCGCGGGCACGTCGCTATTTCCCGTGAATGAAAAACGCTAATCGATTAATCGAATCGTTAATTACAGTGCTCGACTGGCTACCTGTGTGTTATTTTCCGCTGCAGGATTCCTCGTGGTGTCGTTGAGCACTACTGAATGGCTCGCCATTCTGGGCGTCGTTATAACGTCACTCTCTTCCGGTTTGGGAGAAGTTACTCTGCTGAGTTACAGCCACAAGTATCCGAAGTAAGTACCATTCATTCCGTTTCCCTCCATTTTCTATTCATATTGTTGGTATTTTTTTTCTTTTTTATTATTATTATTATTATTATTATTATTATTTTCTCTGAATAACTATCGCGATCGTTCCTTTCTCTCTATTCTATCGACGAACATTGTACACAGACGTGTTTTATGCATCGTGTTCTCGTATCTTTTTTTTTCTTTTTTCATTCAATTTTCTTCAACAATAAATAAAAAAAAAAAAAATAACGCGGTTACAAATGCATGCGTCGAACGCATCGTATTTTTTTTTTTTTCTTACGTTCGTCCTTTAATAACATTTTTTAGTTCGTTCTCTAACGAACACGATAATAATAATAATTTATTATCTGTGTGTCTCTGATCTTAGCCGATGCTCGAGGATCACAGAATGTGCGCGAGAGAGAAAAAAAAAAAAAAAACGAGAAAAAAGATGAAATTAGGAATGAAAAAGAGTGTAAAGGTAGAGAATGTAAAACGGACGAAAGTAGAAACGGCGAAAAGAGATAAAAAGAAAAAAAAGAAATACGATGTAAAAATCAATTGATGCAGGGTATTGAGGCAGCGGAGTATAAAACCGCAATATTGACATTTTAGACAGTTGTTCCAGAAAAGTAGAGATAAGATAATGGCCGTCGACAGGTTGGCCTTCCATGTTTAAGACTAGAAAAAAAAAAAAAAAGTATAATATGTGTAATAATACGATATGAAAGTTTTGATACGAAAAATAAGATAAAAAAGAAAAAAAAAAAAAAAAGAAACATATAAAAAAAGTATAATACGGGATTCTGAAAAAACTCGT